AAAAAAAAAAAATTCTTTGTGGGGCTGGGGCAATGGCTCAGTAGAATAAGCACTTCCCTGGCAAGCGCTAGGGTCTGAGTTCAATCCCTGATTCCACAAAAAAAAAAAAAAAAATTTCTTTTTTCTTTGTGTTTCCAAAATGCATTTTAAATGACTATTTTCATCTGTCCACATTTGCTAACCCAGGCCCTGCTTAGTCTTCATGTAGAAAACTAAAGTATCTCTCTTAAAAAAAAAAAAAAAAAAAAAGTAGCTCTTGTGACTCCCTGAATTTATTCCTGTGTCTTTCTTTTCACTCACCATAATGTAGCCAGAAGGATTTTCTAAACATATGAACTCTACTTGGTCAAAATTTAAAAGCATTCCATTACTTTGGAGAAAAAATTAGCTGGTTTTGGTGGTACACACCTATAATCCCATCAGTCTAGGAAGCTAAGTGGAGGATCACAAATTTGAGCCCAGTGTGGGCAACTCAGCAATTTCAACATCTCAAAAGATGGTTTAGGGATGTAGCTCAGTGTGAAGGCCTTGGGTTCATTCCAAGGGATGAGGGAAGATCCATAAATTATATTCTGATATGATCTAATCCCTGCCAATTTATTATCCCTTCTAAACATTCCGATTACTATTTTCAGACCCACTGGCTATCTTTTAGTTCCCAAAATAGAACCAACATTTTCCCTTCTTAACCTCTTTACACGTTATTCCTTCTACCAGAAACATTTATCTGTTTTCTCTGCTTGGTTAATGCATATTCTTCATATGGATCATAACTTAAATTTCACTTCTGGGGCCAGGGAGATGGCTCAGTGGAATAAGCGCTTCCCTGGCAAGTGCAAGGGCCTGAGTTCAATCCCTGGTTCCACCAAAAATAAAATAAAATAAAATAATTAAATAAATAAATTTCACTTCTCCATAGAAATCCTTAAGAACCACTTTTCTGGGGCCGGGGATATAGCTCAGCAGCATTGCCTGGCACATACAAGGTCCTGAGTTTGATCCCGCCTACCAAAAAATAAATAACAACAACAACAAAAAAAACCAACTAATTTCTGTGGCATGCACCTATAATCCCAGTACAGGGAGGAGGATCTCCTGTGAGTTAGAGGCCATCCTGGGCTACAAAGTGAGATCCTATCTCAACAACAAAAAGGAGCATCTTTGCCTGATCTAAATAAAGCCTCCAGGGGCCAGGGAGATGGCTCAGTGGAATAAGCGCTTCCCTGGCAAGCACAAGG